CAGTAGTTGTGGCGCATGGGCTTAGTTGCTCTGCGGCATGTGGGATCTTCCTGGACCAGGGCTTGAACCCGTGTCCCCTGCATTGGCGGGCAGATTCTTAACCACTGCGCCTCCGGGGAGTGTTTCAGATGGAAGTCTTTGTGAGCTAGAAGCAGGGCGGTGGCTGACCCTTGGTGCCGGGACAGTCCTAGTAACACCCGTCGTCCTGGCATCACTGATGGCAGGCTCACTCTGCCCTGGGTCCCTGCTTGGAGGCTGCGTGAGAGGCCTCCCCGCGAGAGATGTGGGGGAGATAGTGTGTGATAGTGACAGTGCTGCAGCCTGGAGGCTGGCTGTAGTGACACAGAACACACAGCAAAGGTGTTTGGGGAATAACAGACCACGAGCCACAGCCACAGCCGAGAGTAGCTTTGAATTACTGTTTTACTCATTCAAATTTGAGCATGTGGTGCAAAAAAAAACCAAAACAAACAAACAAAAAAAGAAAACAATGAAATTGCTCTAACAGGTTCAGGTAAATTCTATTACAGTTCATCCCATTTATTCCTATCATTTAGAAAGAGCTCCTCAGTAGTGAGATGTTTGTTTTTACTGCATCCTTTAACACAGCTTTGGAATTCTTTTAAAGTTATTTTGTTGTATGCTTTGTGCCAGGTTTTCAGTAACAGTTTTACTGAGGTGTAATCTACACAGCATACAATTTACCCTTTCAAAGTGTGCCATTCAGTAGTTTTCAGTATATTCACACAGCTATGCAACCATTACCAGTCTCTGATTTTAGAACATTTTCGTTACCTCACAAAGAAACCCGGGGCCCATTAGCACTCACTCTCCATCCCCCTACCCTCAGCCCCTGGCAACCCTGATCTGCTTTCTCTCTGTGAATTTGCCTGTTCTGGATTGTTCATACAAGTGGAATCATGCAATATGTCGATTTTTGTGATGGCCTGTTTCATTTACTCTAGTGCTTTCCAAGTTTGTCCATGTGGTAGCATGAATCAATACTCCATTCTTTTTATGTATGGATAGACCATGTCAGGTTTCTCCATCAGTTGATGGACATTTGGATTTCCAGTTTTGGGCTATTATGAATAACGCTGCTGTGAACATCAATGCACACGTTTTTGTGTGGACATAATGTTTTCATTTCTCTTGAATGCACATGTTGTGATACTTGAATTACAAAGGTTTTTAATTTTGATGAAGTCCAATTTTCTGTTTCTTGTTTTTGTTACTTGTGCTTTTGATATCACATCTAAGTAACCATTGCCTACTTCAAGGTCATGAAAATTCATTCTTCAGTTTTCTTCCAAAAATTTATGGTTCTAGCTCTTAGGTCTAGGATCTGTTTTATGTGTGGGAGGTACGGTTTAATACAGATCTTCACCTCAAATATTTACCTACATGTACTTTGTAGGAATTTGTTCAAATTTCTTGTGTTTTTTTGTCTTGCTTTGTACCTGTATTTATTGATAGGTTTCCTTTCTATGTGTATGCTATTGAAATTTGTCCTAATTTACTTCATATCATGGTTTCTTTTCTAGTTACCAGGAGTTACAGTACCAGGATTTCCCTTTATCGTCCCCGATGTGTGGTGTAAAACCTCATATGCTTGTGTGTGTAATTCTGGAATGCTGTAATTTCATAGTCAATATAATACATTTTCCTTCACAAATCACTTAATATTCAAGAGGAGTATAATGGAAGTACTTAACTTTTTTCCTTACAGAGCACCCTGATGACCTGAGGCTGGCATGTAGAGTGGCCTTCCTGAGCCTTTACTCCGGGGGAGGGGCCCTCCCTCAGGGCCCCTCCCTGTCAGCCTTCCCTGATCCCCCCTCCGCCCCGCCGGAGTGGGTCAGGAAGCCTGGGAGGCAACTGTCCATCTGGCCTTGCTGGTGTCTGGGTGGCCTGCGTGTGGGTGAGAGCTGACGCCGAGGGAAGGTTAAGTATTACTCAACTATTCTTTAGGAAAGAAAGGCTGGAAACGGTTTAAAAAGTAAAGACTGTCACAACCAAGTGGTTTGTTATTGGCACAATTTGTTTCAACAGAACACATCTTGGTATATTTTCCTAAGGGAAAAAATTGTCAAGGTAAAAGCTACTTGTACAATAGGACAAATAGTAAAAAAAATTGTTTTTAAAACGTTGTACTATCTGGTTATTTTATTTTTGTTTTATACGTGGTGGGAGTGGAGGTGGCTGTGTTTCTTGTGTGTTATGGGCCAGTCTGGAGTTGGTAAATGGACTTGAAGCCCTTACTCATTAGAGGAACCTGTTTTGTGGCATTTCTAGCAATAGACGCACAAGTTTGGGAGCTTAGGGTTTGTTTTTAAGTAACCTTTATCAACTTTTATAAGACAGCGTTTCTTCTTATCATGGAATTGAACATAAGAAGTTGTGCATATGATCACATGGCCGAGGCGAGTTTATTTCGTCTTTCTTGGCATTATAGAGTTTTTCCACCTATCTCCATGATCCACGTATTGGTTCTTTTTAAAGACAATGCACTATTCTGTTATATTGCAGTATTATTATGTATTCAGTATCTTGGTATTTAGGACTGTTTTGCATACTGCATATTTTCCTATTACAGACAGTATCTTTTCAGGTACAGTTTTTTTGTGTGGGATTACCTGGTCAAAAGTGGGTCAGATGTTTTAGGATTTCCTTTGGAATCGCTTTTATCAGTTTATCGGGGCGGCTAGTTCGGTATAGCTTTCCAGCCTTTGTATTGTTTGCATCGCTGTTATTATGTAGATTTTAAGGCACCTGTCATGGTAAAGCGGCTCTCTTTTCATGGAAGGTTGTACTCTGTTGCCTGTGTACGGAGTTTAGTATATCTGAGAACAGCATCCTCAGGAGCATATTCCCATGTTCTGAGCGGGCCTGAGCAGACCGAGCTCAGCAGTTGCTCTCATTTGCAAACCTGGCGAGCATTTGTTCCAGGTCAGAATAACATTCTCCATCCACGGAGCTGGTTTTGCCATGTTGCGTGTGTGCTCTCTTAGTTTGCTCTAACCTCACCCTGGTGAGATGAGCAGTTACTATAAAATCAATAGAGCTTCACTGGAGACAATGCAGAACGAGAAAGAAACAACTTTAAAACAAAGCTGGTGTCTCAGAGCACCTGGTTTCCATCTTTATGGGCACTTTGAAAATTACTCCTGGGGTTGTATGTGGAACACAGTTTTGACTAACGTTACTACTAAGCACGTTACCATACACTTTCCTACACGTTACTGAGTGCTGTTACCTACTCCTCGTCAAGTGTGTGTACCGTGGCTGGCTGTGTTTTTGACCACCGTTCTCCGATGACTGAGCACTTGTAATTTTGTGAGTGTATGTGATTTTGCAGTGAGCATAGTTTGGGGGCACGGCGGGTCGGTGGGTGCCAGGGTTTATCTCAGGTGGGGTCCCGACGGCGGGGATTTCTGGGTTACAGGGGTGAACGGTCAGTGGTCGCTCCCACTCGTTCTCGCGGGGACTGTGTTTCCTGCTGGCAGAGGGAACATTTTCTCCTCTAAGGTGGCGGGTCCACCTGCCTCGGGACAGTAGACCTGACCTGCAGCCTCCACGCTTAACTCTGTCCCCCATCTTTACCTGGGAGCCAGGAACTTACTTAACACCCAGTCCCTTTCACGAGAAATATCTTCTAGTGATTTCTGTATTCAGAATTGTGTGCACATCGTGATGACTACTCTGTAGACGGACCAGTTCATAAGAACGCAGGTTGAAAAGAGTGTAGGCCCAAAGGAGAAGTCATCGTGGGGTGGATTACCAGTCGTTTTTTCCTTTGTTTTTGTAATTGTCTGTGATATCCTTTTTATCTTCTTTATGACTAAAGAAGCAGGAGGGGTGTGTCTCTACACTGGGTTGAATAGCTGGGTGGAGCAGACCCGGCCTCCCGAGAAGACCTTTGTGAGCCCTGGACTGACCCTCTGTCAGTGCGCCACGTGTACAGACCCCCTCGTTGGTGAGGTTACAGCAGGTGCCAGCGGAGAGAGGAACTGGCCTCTGTGTGAGGGCGCCCGTTGTCGGTGGCTTGGGCCCCAGGACGAGGGGAGCCGCGGGGCAGACGGAGGAGGCCTCTCGGTGCACGGCTCCAGTGAACAGGGAGGGGAGACGAGTCACTCTTCCTGAAAGTCCTCCTGTCCTTTTGGCAGTTTGACTTTAAAAATAGCTTTTTTTCCTATCGCGAACAAGGCTGTTATACTTCGTGGACCACTTACGAGCTTGTCAGTCACTCTGTCAGGGCTGCTGATAACCCACACTTTTCATACTGCAGTTAGCACATTTTGAAAAGTATAACTCAGGCTTTATAAATTGATGTCCTGATAGCTTAGATTTTACAACAAATGTGTGGAGATGAATGCTATTTGATTTGGGCTGGCTCTAGGGCTGTGCTGTCCAGTACAGTCACCACTAGCTATTTGTGGCTGTATTTAAACTTAAAGTTAAACTTCTGTTCCTTAGTTGCACTCACCCCGTTCTGAGCGCTCAGTAGCCACATTGAGCTGGCAGCGATCATACTGGACAGCACCTATACCTATGAAGTGCATCTCTACTGTCACTACTGTCAAGTTCTCTTGAATAGCGCTCTTCCAGAGGAAAATGGTAAGCAGCAGAAAAATGGTCCAAGGAGTTTAAATAGCATGTATCTTAAAGCTTTTTCTAAGCAAATTGCAAAGAATCCCAAGTTGGGGAGAGTGCCTCGGTCAGTCTTTGCAAATGAAAATATTCTGGGCATCCTCAGCATGCTCTGCTTATTTAAAGAAACTTGGAACTGATACAAATGAATTCTTCCTTTTTAAATGAACCCTTGTTTATATTCACCAAGCTTACTTGAAATGTGACATTTTCGTCTGTGGGAAAGCTGGCCTCTGTTGTCACGTAGTGTTGAGCAGGTAGGTATCTGCTTCATTGTAAAGAACCCGGCTGGACCAACAATGGGAAATGTACAGTTGGAGCTTTCTTGACATGCCTGTTTTTCCCTGTAGGAGAGCTGCGGCACATCACCAAGCTGAAGCCCTGGAGCCTCTTTGATGTACTTGTGGAAAAGTATGGTTGGCCCCATGAAGATGCTGCACAGTTTACAGATTTCCTGATCCCAATGTTAGAAATGGTTCCAGAAAAACGAGCCTCAGCTGGCGAATGCCTTCGGCATCCTTGGTTGAATTCTTAGCAGATTCTGCACACACGCATTCTGAGCTGGCACATGTTGTCCAGCGCATTGGCCCTAAAGGGGGACTCTCGTTCTTAACAGGATTACAAGTGAGCTGGCTTCATCCTCAGACCTTTTATTTTGCTTTGAGGTACTGTCGTTTGACATTTTGCTTTTTTGTGCCCTGTGGTCCTGGGGAAGGGCAGTCTTTTGTCTTCAGCTTAGTAGTTACTGACCCACTTTACTTCTGGAAACAATAACATGTCTCTAAGCATTGTTTCTTGTGTTGTGTGACATTCAAATGTCAATTTTTTTTTGAACGAAAAATACTTTCCTCCTTGTGTTTTGGCAGGTTTTGTAACTATTTATGAAGAAATATTTTAGCTGAGTACTATATAATTTACAATCTTAAGAAATTATCAAGTTGGAACCAAGAAATAGCAAGGAAATGTACAATTTGATCTTCTGGCAAAGGGACATCATTCCTGTATTATAGTGTATGTAAATGCACCCTGTAAATGTTAATTTCCATTAAATATGGGATGGGGACTCAAATTTCAGAAAAGCTACCCAGTCTTGAGTGCTTTGTAGCCTAAGTTGCATGTAATGGACTTTAACTACTCCAAGGAGTTGCGCAAACTTTTCATTCCGTGACAGTCCTTTTGCATTGGATTTTAAACAACTGGCTCTGGGTTATATCATTCCCTATATGGCACTTTATACAAAGAAAAGACATGCTTCTCATTCTAAAATACGTATTATAGTTTAGCACTCCCATTCATATTTTTGCATTTTTTAAATTAAAGGTACTTTTAAGGAAAAAGAGCAATTTCCCTTTAAAAATGTGGTAGCCTGATACCATGTGGTGTTGCCTCCTCCAAGCCCTGTAAGTTAAACTCTACATAGATTAAATTGGACAAGAGAAACATGTTCAGTGTGTGGAGTGAAAAAATATATATTTTTGGAAAAGCTTGCTCGTGTTTGTCTAGAACCAAGGTATGATATGTACAATTTGCAGTGCAGTGGGCAGAATACTAACATCTCAGAGGTAACAGGGATTGCATTCATTCCAGAGACGGTTTCGTGTGTGGCTACAACACATTTTACTAGCTTTTTCATTGTCTTTCCATGCGTTGAAGTTGAGAAAATGATTTTTTCCCTTTGCAGATTGCGCACAATTTTGTTTATGCATTTCCTTAAAACTGTAGAATCCAGAACACAAACCATAGTAGGCAATACAATTTTAGAATGTAATATATAGAGGTACATTTAGCCTCTTTTAGAAATCAGTGGATTGAATTTTTTTGTTTGTTTTACATTCCTCAAGGTGCCTCGTTTTTCTTGACTTTGTCCATTAACATTTATCCATATGCCTTTGCAATAACTAGATTGTGAAAAGTTAACAAGTGTTGTAACAATAATCCATTGTTTGAGGTGCTTGCAGTTGTCTTAAAAATTAAAGTGTTTTGGGTTTCTTTTCCAGACATTGCCTTGGTCATTGGCCTATATTTGAAGCGATAGAATCAATAAACGTTTGCTATCCTTTTAATGTAGTGTAACCAGAACGAAAGGAAGTATCAGCATTCCTGTAGCAGGAAATGTACTTGTAGAACATGCATTAAGGCTTAATACAAGGAAAACATTCATCGTTTTGTAAGGGTAGGATATGGATCTAGAAAAGATGCTGTAGTATAGATCCATTACGTAGAATTTCTGTGAACCTTTTTCATTCACGTATCATCAAAAACATACTAGTTAACATTTTGTTTGCACATTGTCAGTTTTCTTTTTTTTAACAGCATTCACTGTGAGGGAACAAGACACGTAATCCTCTTAGGAGTTAGCATTAGATCGTATCGCTGTGAGGTGGAAGATACCATTCACTTATGAAATGTGCATGCTAAGTTTTTCTTCTGAGGCTGTAGGTGACCTTGTAGGTTCTGTGAAAGATAGTGGCTGTAGACCAGTGATGCCATCCACAATTTGCACAGGAATCATTCTCACGAGAATTACGGAGTTCACATATGTCTTCCCTAAGTCCATAAGAATTTTTATCAGGGTTATGGCACACTTGAATGAAATTTGTCTAATACAGTTTGGGCTCATGTTAGAAAATAATCCAGATAATTACAAACTTTGTAAGGATCTCTCATTTAGGATAAAATAGCCTAACTAGTTTATAAATGTAAAAGCAATTGTTCTAGAAGGAATATACATTTGTGTTAGGTATGGTATGGTTTTTAGCAGATTCTTGGTGGCTTGATGATGATGAATGCATATAAGCTAAACGAGAACCACTGGTTATGCAGAACACTGTAGCCAGCTCCGTGACTTCAGTTGAATGTCCTATCTTTTCCTTTCTCTAGTCCATGTGAAGTCGTCATGGAAAATGACAAGCAGTGGATCACATATGTGATGATAGCAGATTCAGAAGCTGGCTGTCTGGAAATTAGAACTGCCCCAAGGCAGAGGAAAAGTGGATATAATAGGAGCTTCAAAAAAGCATTAGCTTTCTAGGTGAAAACTGATTTACTAACTTGCTTCTTCCCGTACTTGGATCGTCCGTAGCTAGTTAACAGCTGGGGTAGAGAACTTCAGTTTGTATCTGCCGGTGAAATTACTTCTTAAATTCCAGTTTTCTCCCATTAATTTTTTTTTAGAAATTAATGCAGTTTACAGAAAAGCTTCCATATACATTATTTGTATAGTAGGCAAATCTAAAACTATGAGGAATTAAAATCTTTCTTTAGGACAGTCCTTTTAAAGAGGTGTGAATATTCATAGTTCACTATGCTAGTTAACTTTGTCTTCTGTTTGAAACTATCGGTGGGGGGGGGCGGGGGGGAGTGGATGACTGGATGATGTAAAGCCACTTCTTCGTGGACAGGTATTTCTTTAGCAAATACCGTAAGTAGAATCTTGTTTGATAATCAAGGATGGCAAAGTTGACCTAAGTTCTTCTAAAACTTGATTAGGATTGAGCCCTAAACACAGCTGTGTTAATGTAGCTGTTTTGAAAAGGAAATGGAAATTAAAAGTGTAAAAACATGACATACTACTGCCAATCTTAGTCATTTTTAGTCTGTTTACTTTTTTCTCCAATACACAGAATTTGTATACTGTGTCAAATTATGTCAAGTAACTGGATGGTGAACTATGTGTTGACAAATACTGCCACTACTATTGGTTTATACTTAATCCTCCTGAGAGGTGGAAGACAAATAAGAATTTATTATTCCAAAATAATAACTAGTAATTTTGTATTTCAGCAATAAAATGTTCACTTGAGAGGCCACTTTCATTTCACTTGAGAGAGCTAAGAATGCGTTTTTCCTGTAGTTTTGTACACCCAAAACCAATTTGTAAAATTTCCTGCTACTCTTTAAAATACTATATAGCTAGACAGTAAATGTTAAGGTGTTCAACTAATTTTGGTTCATCAGTAGGACATTTCAGTTATGTTCTAACATGTACAAATTAGATATTCCTGTGTTTTTAGGTAAAATGTTCCGTACTTTCAAACAGCTGTAAATTAGTCTGTAGTTGAATCATGGGACGCTTCAATGGAATGGACTCATCTTGTACGATGTCAGATATAAGCAAATGCGTGCAGCATTTACGTAGCACGGTAGTTTCTCATGGCTCCTGCTCCTGCAAAACAATAACATGTAGGAAACCTTCCAGGAACAAGCCTTTACCGCCTCCTGATCTTGCTGCAGTCCCGTCCAGCTGAGGTAGTAGTTGCGAAAGAAAATGGAAGGCTCCTTACAAACTCTATCTGGAAAAGGTAACTTCTGTAAAAACAAACACTTGTATAAACAGACCCCAATCTCAGAAGTGGTACAGGACAATTTGGTAAAACTGACATAATTGTGGTTTATTAACATGAATTAAAATGCCCAACCAGTGCTTCAATGTGACAGTATATTTAAAATAGAGGAATTAAAGGCCATATACTGTACTACTTTCACAAAGATCACACAGTTTTGCAGAGACATGTCATATGTACAGTGCTATATGTCAAATGAGAAAAGCTGTAAGCAATTATATACGCAAAAGAAACGCAGTATTTACAGTTTTTCAGGAGACATTAAAAATCATCTATACGTTAAATTACATTTTGCTTGCAAATAACCGATAAAACAAAATGAGCCATCTTCACACCAAACTAAAAATCTGTATTGCATTTTTTTTAATACATAAGATGCACTCACAGAACTGCTGATTGATTGAAAGAAAATCCTCGTACTGCCATTACTTAGCCGTGTATTTAATGCATATGTATAACATAATAATATAGAAAACATTCACTAACTGAATTTAATTCCAACAATAAAATTTAAAGATCATGTAGCATCAAATCTACTGCCAGAAAAACAGCTGGAATGTTCACTTACAAAATAAAAGATACCTACACTGGCTTAACAGCACATTTTTTAAGGGATTTTTTTAAAAAGCAAAAATGGGAAAAATACAATGATGAGAGAGCACTGGTGTTTGTTTTGTTTTTTATACAAAGTTTCATGTACAAGCTTTAAAAAGTACCTTAACAGGTACATATGAAATGTACAGTTTATCTTACAGAACATTTTAAAAAATGTTTTTGGAGTCCATTTTAATGCCACCCTGAACCATGGTAATTGTTCTGAAATGTTGGTGGCACCTGTGCTCTGTGAATTGGAATCTGTCCAGGCACTGGAGATGCCTGCTGAGGTCCTTGAACCCCATGTGGCAGGGCCACAGAGCCAGGATGAGGACAGAACCCTGAAGCGGTAGGTGTGGGAATACTGTTTGGTCCTTGGGGCTGGAGATGAGGACCTGCGACTGGTAAAGGACAATGTGGCCCTGTTCCAGAAGGCTGGTGTTGGGGTCCCGGTCCCAGAGTGGTGTGATGTGTAGTAGCTTGGGAGGGGTACGGTGGTACGGCTGGATGAGCAGTTGAAGGAAAAAGTGGAGGTCCTTGATGAGGTGGGTGGTGTAAGGCTGGAGCCGATGGGGTATGATGCCCGGAAGCCAGAACACCGGAAGGCGGCGGCGGAGGGGGTGGTGGAGGGGCGGAGCTCACCACGTGCTGGTGTTGTGCTTGCAGACCTGGGAGTCCTGTGGAGGGGTGGGGCGGTGGATGGTGATGCGGGGCGGGAGGGGGAGGGGGGGCTTTTTTTTTGGCAAAACTCTAAAAGCCTACAGATAGCACCAACTCTATGAGAAGAGAAGGTGATCGTGGCCTCTGCAGGTGTGATTTCGGGCCACTGGGCACACATACTTCCCCATCCCCCAAACTGTTCTGCCTCTATTGCAGAACAGCTGTTGCACAACAACAGTCCTGAAGGTTATTGCCTTTTGTAAAATCCCGTAACATTATAATTTAGATAACTTTTGAAAGGTGCAAAACTGTAAAAATTATTTGTGTAAAATGAGGGAGGGGTGCGTGCATTTGCTCATTTAAGCCTAAACTCACTCTAGAAGGACACACGCACACAACACTGGGTGCCTCCAAAGAAGGAACTGAATGGCTTGGGGATGGTGGTGGCAGTCATACCTTTTGAATTTTGAGCTGGATCCAAGTATCACTTACTCAAACTGCTGACTGAGCGCTGCCGGGGGCTGTCCTGAGGGCGTCTGCGTGAACAGCGCTCCAGAAGGGGCCTGCTGCGTACTTGCTTGAAGGTTCTGTGCTGCTGGGTAAAAATTTCTTTGAGGCTCTCGCTGAGGTGTTCCAACTTGAGGTGACTGTGAGTGGTGAGGCCTGTAGGGAGAGCCTAACTGCTGTGAAGGAGGCTTTGGTGAAAGATAACCGTGTTGTACAGGCGTCTGAGGCGTCGACGACTTTGGAGGATTTTCTACGTGAGGTGATGGAGGACAGTGCAACTTCACGGGCGCGGAAGGCAGCTTCTGTGAAAGTTGCTCAGATGAACTGCGAACAAGTGGCTGTGGAGGATGATTCTTCGAAAGTGCTTGGGTGTTACTTGACAGCTGTTTTTGATGGAGTTCTGTTTTCAGGTGGACACCGTTCTCAGCTTCTGACACAGTAACTGCTCCCTCCCAGTGGGAATCTGGTTTTGTGAGTATTTTCCCATGTGGCTGGGCAGGAATTACAGGTCCCGGTGAACCAGGCTGTGAGAAGAAAACAAATTTAGAAACATTTTATGTACACTGAGGTTTGTTATTACTGGTGTTGAATGTTAGCTAAATATTAATTGGAACGGGGGCAGGGAATAAGAGGTCTGAGAGGAGGACAACTACAGAGGCTTGGGATGTTAAAACGCCAGTTCTTTTAGGTAGTTGAGCAAGTTCTGATAATAAGCTTCAACTGAATTCCCTGAATTTTTATTGAAGGCAAGTTAAGGAAATTAATCTGCCCTTTTTCCCCTGAGCAGTGAAACCTGTCTTTGACTCCTATTCTGAAAGAACCACACTTAAACACTGCAGGCGAGTTTCAATTCCATAATTGAAATTTCTATACTCCACCTAAGGATAAATTTGCTTGGGTAGATAAACCTGCTCCCCCGAACTGTTTTCACTTGTAATACCTTTTCCATTGTTCAAATTCAGGTAATCCAAGGATAAGACTACTTGAACGTATAATGATGTTCTTTAAGGAAAAAGAAAAAATCAATCTCAGATTTCCTCATCGTTAGTTTCCAAAGATACTGCCCCACTGGATTATCATGTCTTCATGATCCAGGATAGAGGCAGCATTTCTTTTAAATTAAGAATGTCACCTGACCGTTTGTTTTTAGAGAATTAACTGGCCGGTCAAATATTTTATGAAAAGATTATGAATTTCCTAGACACTAGGATAAGGAAGGGGTGGAAGGAACTCTTGGAGCAAGTGAAGTACGTTCAGCACATGGGAACTTGAACAGGAGAAGTGTCCAGAAATCAGAAACTGATCCCTGGTACAGCAGAAGAACCTCCATGTGCACATTACCATCCACTTTTCTGAAGGGCCACGTTCAAAGGTCGTTATTACCTTGCTCATTTTTGAAGGGCTTTTACAAGTATTTTGGGAAGTATCTGGGGATGCACATTCACTTGTAGTCGTGGGTTCTGGATTTTCAGGATCAGGATCTGTAAAGCGTAAGGAACCATAGAAAATGTAAAACTGCACGATAAATAGTGCTTTTTACTAATACTTGGACGTACATTCTACTATTCAAACCAACGTCTTATAAAGGCGCTCTCTCTCCTTTCTGAAGAGGTATTTAAAACAACAACCATGATAGGTCATCTGCTTACTGACCTTCCATAAGTTCACTGAAAGAAGGGACTGGGCCCTTGGGTTGCAACTGGGGAATGTGATTTGAATGAGATGAAGGTGAAGACGGAACATGAATCGGTGAACATGGGACACATGGTGACTCTCCCCCTAGAGATGAAGCAGAAGCAGACCCAAAGAGAACGTTAGAAGCACAGAACGGGGGTGCAGTGATTAGCTGACTCCCACTTTTTGGCAAAGCAACAAGCTCACTTACCACTATCTTTATCTTTTCGGTGATCACTGAGTAGTAAAGCTCTCTGATAACTCCTCTCTCGCACTTGCTCCACTGAAGTTGAGGCGGTCCTTTAAAATCAAGTCATAACAACAGTTCAGAAGCTGCTGCCAGCTAGATCAGTTTGTGTCCCTTGATGGCCAACACAGCCTCTCAGATAAAGGCTTTGCTCGTTGGGGAAAAAGCTTTGATAACAGCTCCCCACCCCAGCCCACAACACCCCCCAGAACTGAGACTTTTACTTATTTGAAGAACTCAAGCAGACGCCATTCCTTTGTCTTAAGCAATTTCTTGGTGAAAAGGAGGGGGTTGTTGAAGGGGGTAGCAAAACAACATTCAGAACGTCACTTCAGGTTACCAAAGGGACCACATATACCCCTGACAAATTACCTTGGGTCTGGATTATAAGGCTAGCAGGAAGCTCAGAGGTAAGAGGACCATGGAGCAAAGTGAATGTGGCCTCCTGCCCTTTGCAGGACCCTTCTGTATCCAGCTTCTTCTATTCCTATCGAAGAAACACTAAACATGGCTGTACTCTCAAGGCAACTGGTAAGGGTGACAAAGAAACTGCCGGATGTTGACTAGGATAAAGGTTCTTTGGAGAGGAATATTTGTGTGAAAATTATCAAGGAGTAGATACAATGGACCTTTCATGATGCAGGGAAATACTTAACTGGCTTAAAACTCTTATCAGCAAAAAGGATCTGTCAAAATTATGATCACAAACCTCTGCTTTAGGAGAACAACAAACGGGAAGGCAGCTGATTAACAAAAACTTTGTTGTTTTTCGGAATAGGATACTACCAGTCTTTACGAATATATAAGCTCCGTTCAAAATCAGCTATGTAAAAAGTTAAGATCCTGACTTGACTGGATGATAAAATAACAAAGACTACTGTCATTATAAGGTATATTACTTGTAGTTCTAAAGTTACCAGTTAGTTAGTTAGGTTTTTTTTTCAGCAGGCAGCTTACCATTGGACTTCTGGTTCATTCTTTTCACTGGCAGAAGCTTCCTTGACAGGACAGTTATTGCTGGTTTCTTCCAAAGTAGCATTATAAACTGTAGCTGGTGTTGGTAAAGGTAGGCTAGCAGTGCTTTCTACCTGCTCCCCATTTTCATTCCCGTTGGCACACCCGTCAGCATTGTTGCTGCTCAAGTTTCCACTTGTGTGAGGTGATACATGAACCAGTGGAAAGTGTTCTGCCTTAGAGCCACTTTTCCTAGCCTCACGTTGTCTTTTCCGGTATTCTAATAGAGAAACCTTAAGCAAGAAAGATAAGGAAAAGCAAATCTTTTATCCTTGTTTTTATATGTCAGTGTCAATCTATTCTTTTCTTTCTAAAGAGAATTACTATATTTACATTAAGAAAATTATATAAAATAATTTGATTCTGAACAAACAATAATAATTAACAATTATCAAATGCCTACTATATGCCAGGCATTGTATTTAGATGATTTACATACATTATCTCATTTAATCCTCACAACAACCCTATGAAATAGGTATATTATCATCCCCATTTTACAGATGAGGAAATTGAGTAACTCACTCACTCAAGGTCACACAGCTGGTGAGTGTTGGAGCCGGGATTCGAACCTAGGTCTTACTTGAAAGCCCGTGCTCTTTCCACTATACTATATTGCTTCCCACAAAGTTGCCAACTGGACTCTGTTATAAAAATTAAAAGCACACATCACTAAAATTCTTTCGACTTGCAAAGCAATAAGCCTATTAACAAATAAAATACGTGTTGTAGTTTCTCCCACTGATCTGAAATAAGGCATTCCAATTGTCTCGGTATATCTGCCAACCGAATAATGGTGGTAAATCAGGGAACTTATTATTTATATAATAAATACTTTTATATCCATGGCCTAAATACTGCAGGTATTAAGGATGAGGAAAGAGGCATTTCTTCTACATAGGCTGCCTGTTCTATGTAAAATAAGGGTAATAAGAACACAAATATTATTCAATTCTGTTTATTTGGTTGGGAAGTGGTTATCTTTAAAAGTTACTCTTTCAGTGAAATAAATCACCTTGAGGTTTCGATCTCTGAAACCATGCTCCTTATAGGAATTTTCCATATCACTAGCTCTCTGCAAACATAATCTAATTCACTGAGCATTTACAAAAGGTTTAAAAATGTACGTATCAATAATTCAATATGAATAAAGTATGAATGCCTTACACAATACATATTATAACTACTAATTATCCTCAGAAGTAGTATGAAAAAAACACTATTAAAAGGACTATAAATCGTTAAATTTGTAACCTTTTTCTTTTGTGGTGGATTCTGGGGTGTGCAACTTCCGTCGATCAAATTGTCATTAATAGTCCGTCCAAAACCAGATACAAGCCCATCTTCTGAAGTACAAAACACAGGTGTTTCCATAAACATGCCTCTAGTATCATCCTGCATCAGGCACTTTGACTCACTTATTCGGAAGCCTCCTCCAACCTCCAACTGATGTGAGGGTGTCAGGTCCCTCAAGTTGGAGTTTACTGAGAAGTTAACTCCTGTTCTGTCAGGACTCTTTACCCAGGAAGAATATATTGGGCCCCGTCCAGAGTGAGCAGATTCCAGTTGGCTGTTAGACTCAGTCCTATCATGTGCAGGTGTTTCCATGGTTTTATGTAAGGCAGCTTGCTCGACTGTATCGAGTCCCGGTTGAAGGTCTGACACAGATTCCTTTTCTCCAGGGCACTGCCTACTGACTTCAGTCCTACTCCTAGGGCTGGTATAACCAATAGTCTTTATTTCTTGCAGACCGAGTTCAGTTAAATTAGAATTTCTAAAAGGCCCCAATGTTAACATGGTTGAAGATCTGTCAAAGCCCTGTTTACAGAATTAAAAAAAAAAAATTAACCACATTTGGAAGCTAGTTACATTAAATCTACCAATAATTTATAATGATACTAGGGAAAAGTCACCGATTTAAAAAACCTTTTTTTAGTATCTCCTTACCTCTTGACTATAAGTGCGTCTCTTAATTTCTGGAGAACTTTCTGGGGAAGAAATATTCTACATAAAAGAAATAATCATAATTGAAAATTAAAATACGTTAACAAACCCATGATATTTATAGAAATGAGAACTTAAAATGAGAAACTACTACACAGACTTTGGTTTTAAACTTCTTTATTTCCATTCCCCTTATATTTTGCTTTAAGGTCACTTTGATACACATAGTCATTTAGTCTGACTTTTGTATATCAATCAGATGAAATGAAAGTTATGTGCATTTTAATAAAAAAATAAAGTTTAAATTCACAAATGCATGTTCCAAATTTTCGCTCTTAGATTCTTAAGAATTCTTTTCTGCTCTCAGTACACTAATTATTAAAGGGAGAAAAAAACAGCTATTAAAGAAACCCCATCCCCATGGGTTTTTGTTTCTGTTTTTTCTCACCTCAAAGTGCATGGTATTTCCCGGTGTGCCAGGAGTTACTGGGGTAACTGGTGAATAAATGGGCTTATAACCATTTCTACAAGCTTCGTCGTCTGACTTTGCCCGTGGAGGAGTGGCAAATGATGGATCCGTAGGAGTAATATCTGTGTGAGTTGGGGTAGCATATGGTGAAGGAGTAGGTGTGGAGGTTTCTGAGTAAGCAGAATCTAGTAACTGATAGAGTCTTCGTTTTTTTAGTGGTGTAGTTAAATCTGTTGGTGAAATAAGTTAAGAAATTATACTGCTGCTATTTGCTATAATCTGTAATATATTCTGGGGAAGACCAAAAAACATCAGCAATCGTAATTATGATGATTGTCACCCCGAAATTAAATTTCACAGTTTTTAAAGATAACAGGAAGCAATCTCTCCCCCACCCCGCCCCCCGCCCCCCAACTTAGTCATTTTCCCTGTTAGCAAGCATATTATCTTGCCAGAAGGCTTACAGGCCTGGTGGGGGGGGGGGCTCTAAGAAATCTTGCAAGTACAGCTGTTAATTTAACTGATTTCTAAGAGTCCTTTTGAATCTTGTTGAAAAACAGCTGGCCAACTAGGCCCAAAATTCAACCATAAGCCCCAACATATTGTACATGGTACTTGCAAATTAAGGTTTTCATGTCTACCTTCGTCTAAAACTTTGGAGGACAGAAAAGAGAAAATATATGTAACAATGTGCTTCTTTTGAAAGGTACATAATAATTAGGATATATATATGCTATATATATCCTGCCACATTCTCCACACTAGAACAACACTGAAAAGAAATTCTACCTGGAAGAGAACAGCTGTCATTTAATAGTAGTGGACTTCTATTTTCACCATTGACTGTAGGACTTCTGGATCTTTCTTGACAGGGTGAATTAAATCTGTGTAAAATTGCTGAGTTTTCTTCTTCCAGAGCTTGTTTCAACCACCGCTGAAATATATAGAACAATAAATGAAGAGAAATCAGTTTGTAGCTGTTTACATATCCTATAAATGTACAGCCAATTCCAAAAGCATTTCACTACCAGGACTGGTAGAGTAAGGAATGAGAATGGCATTTGGCCCATACTAGATTTTCATATCCAAAGAAAAGTTTACCTTCTTGCACGAGCCAGAAATGTTTTCAGGAGGTTCTTTTCTTCTCCTTTTTTCTGAAAGGAATGGTGAAGTGAATCTAATGTAGTGCTTAGGAGTAGAGTATACGTGCGGACTATAAGTGAGACCCGGTAAAGAATTGAGCTGTGTAGCTAACACTTCAGGATCTGTAGTTATGCGCAGAGGCTTTTCTGAAAGGGTGTCTGAAGGTTTTCCCGTCTTCTCATTCTTCTCACTTAACCATTCATTGACCAAGTGCTAGAGAGAAGGAAAATCTGGATCACTATATATGTAAATTATACAGATTCTCCTATAGAATATTCTAATACCAAATTTGTAACTGACATATCTAAAATGAGAGATTTAAATCCTTCATATATGATGTCTAAAACGTCAATATAAGTCATTCTGCATTTCCTTGGTTATCTACACTTATTACTAAATTTTTTTACCCAATTATACTTTGTAGGAACAAAACACATGATAGTTTTTATAAAATAGTAAAAATCTAGGAGATCTCAGTACTATCTTAAAAACACAAACACTAAACTGCTTCTGTGTTATGTGTAAAATGTTTAGTTCCTCAGACTTTAGGCAGTGTTTTTTTTGTTGTTGTTGTTTGTTTGTTTGTTTTGCAGTACGCGGGCCTCTCACTGCTGCGGCCTTTCCCGTTGTGGGACGCGCAGGCTCAGCGGCCATGGCTCATGGGCCCAGCCGCTCGGCGGCATGTGGGATCTTCCCGGACCAGGGCACAAACCCGTGTCCTGTGCATCGGCAGGCGGACTCGCAACCACTGTGCCACCGGGGAAGCCCTAGGCAGTGTTTTCCTACTCTGGTTGCCCATCAGAATCTCCAGCTGAGGCCAGTGCATATATATATATATATATATATATAAGGGGGTAAGATTATGGGTGATGAATATATTTTTTTTTTTTTTTTTTAAAGCTGTCGGCATTGACAATCACTAATGATTTAAGGGGGTTGAAATCTCTTAAGTTCCCATGCTTTGAAAATTCACATAATCCCTTTCTTAATTCTATTTTTTTGCATCTACAATGTACGTAGTTCAGTCTTTCCTGGCTGTATGAATATACCTGATCCTAAAGTATAATGATTACTCAACTTTTTCTTTTTTTAAAAACTAGTTATTTAGTAAAGTTCAGATGTAATGGGCATGGAAATAAGGATTACATTTCTCAGCTCAAGCACATTTTCCTTGCTGTGTGGGCATTTTTATCTTTTCTATCTAGTTATCAAATTATACTCCTTTTATTTTTATTATAAATGTAATTTGTAGAATATGTAGAAAAACTAGTGTATATGTATTTACACATATACATTCTCACAACACACATACAGAAATACATACATTACAAAAACAGTCTACCCTCATCCTGTCTTCTAGAGATAATCACTATAAGCATTTTGGCATCTTTTCTTTCCTTCCTTTCTTCAATGTATGTAAACTTCCTTTCTAGGACAAGCAACAGTGGGGCTAAATTTAGCACTTGGGAGCCTGCAACAGACTGCCCCGGTGTGAATCCTGGCTTTGCCACTTACTGTAACCTCAAGCAAGTTACATAACTTTTCTACATCTCAATCCTGATCTATGAAAGAAGGGTCATGAGAGAAACTAGTTCTACAAATAGGGTTATTGTAAGGATTACAAGAGTTAAATAACCAAAGCTCTTCATAGAGTATCTGGCACAGAATAAGTGCCATGTATGAAACTGAAGAAGGCCTTTACATCATAGGAAATCACGATAATTTGGTACTCTGTCAAACAGTAATGTTGTTTAAAGCAACAGTATATATCACACGCAAAACCTGTGGGAAAAAGGCTTCTTTTTTTTTTTTTTTTTTTTTTTAAGAGAATCAGGATACAGGAACCTATATCTCAAGACCAGGGAATTAAATCTATAGTGCCACAACAGTTTAGTCATTTAATAATTAAAGGGCAGGGACTATGTCATATTTGCAATCAAGAAAGCAGCCTTTTTTTTTGTTTTCCTGCACTGTGCAGCTTGTGGAATGTTGGTTCCCAGACCAGGGATTGAACCCAGGCCCTCAGCAGTGAGTGCAGAGTCTTAACCACTGACCACCAGGGAATTCCCAGAAGTAGCTTTTCTTTTAAACATGAATCTTTTTTCTTTCTCACTAATCCAAATTATGGAGAAAATCTGCAGCTACTTTTTGTCCTCCCAAAGTGGGCAAAAGTAACTGCTCACTGTCAAAATCAAGTGCTGGCTTGCTTGTTCAGGACCCAAGGTGCAAAGGTGAGCACAGACTTCAAATCAGAGCTGTGTTTAGATCGTCTCTGTCTAATCCTCTGACTCACCACTGAAGTATACTCCCAGGTTCCTCCTAGATATTTACGAAGTATACTTCTCATGGTTTCACAGTACCTTCAAACTATACTGAATTTGGTAAGAACAAAGACCAGATAAAGTGGGTTTAAAAGTACTATGTTATAGAAGGGCGTGAGAAGGATCCATTTATGATCTACCCCACTGCCCAGAGAGCCTAAGGGTTGCACTTTGGTATCTGCTCCAATCTGCTGTACTCAGAATAGGAGAAAAACAAAGCTTCATAAGGGTGTTCTGTATTTCTGGCCTTCCTGTAAAGCTCAGGTTGGTTTATCTCAGTGATTGTTTACCACAATTGCTTCATTAAATCTGACAGTAGTTTTTGACAGATTTTTATTAATAAATTGATCTAAAACTACCCTTCCTGAAACCCTCCCACACTGTTGGTGGGAATGTAAACTGGTACAGAGAGTACGGAGGTTCCTTAAAAAACTAAAAATAGAGCTACCATATGATCTGGTAATCCCACTCCTGGGCATATATCCAGAGAAAACCATAATCCGAAAGGATACATGCACCCCAAAGTTCACTGCAGCAGGACCTAGAGATGAGCATACTAAGTGAAGTAAGTCAGAGAAAGACAAATATCATGATAGCACTCGCGGAATCTAATTTTTAAAAAAAAGAAACGAACTTATTTTCAAAACAGAAACAGACTTAAGGGGAAACGGGGTGGGGGGGGATAAATCAGAAGCTTGGGATGAACACATACACACTACTATATATAAGATAACCAACAAGGACCTACTGTATAGCACAGGGAACTCAATATTCTGTGATAAGCTATGAGAAAAGAATCTAAAAAAGAATGCATGTATGCATGTATATAACTGAATCACTGCTGTATACCTGAAACTAACACAACATTGTAAATCAACTACACTCCAATAAAATTAAAATGAAACTACTCTTCCTTATAAATTTTCACATCCTACTACATTCTATGGAAATCAACAATTTCTTCACATTTAATTCTTGCAATCTACCTTTACCATGAAATTTATAAAAACTACAAAGAATAAAGAAAGGATAACACATCTCAAACTAGTTGTTTCTGAGAAGTGTAGTTATGTACATAAAGTAGGCAAAATTAAATCATTAGAAATCAGAATTGCAATACTACAAGGAAGCCTTGATATACTGGATACTTTAATGATGCAAACATTTCTATTAACTGATTTTACCGTTTTGCAATTCTCATTCTTAGTTTAAAACTTTGCTAGTATAAAAGCTATGACTCTTTATCACTCTTCCTTATGAGATGTTATAGACTGAATTCCTAAAACATGAATATATTTAACATAAGACATCTGTTAAAAAACAGTTCTTACATTCATTAAGAATCATACCTTTTTTGTTTTGGGATACTTTGTTGGACATTTATTAAGTGCTGGAACTTCAGTTTCAGTAATTATTTCTGTTAGTGCAGTTTCACTTTCTGGTTCTATTGCAAGTACAGTATTTTCAGTATCATTTTGTTGTGAAGTAACTTCTATATCAGGAGAAGACGGCTGGATATCTGAACACATGCTGACGGTTCTGTGTCTCCGACGCTGCTGTCCGATGTGAGTCCTACTCCGAGAAAAACTTTTTCTCTGTTTAGTTCTATTTACTTTGGCAGGAGTTGGCTTGCTAGCAGTTTCTTCTTTTGCTTGTTCCTAATTCAAAAGAGAATGGAACTTTTAATACGATGTTTATATAACTTAGTAGTTGAAATCTAATGGCATCAATCTGCTTCAGAAGCTAACTGCCCCAAATGTCTTTATGAATTCTGATGTATATTAAATGGACATAATTAAAATTTTTCTTACTCTCCAAAACAAAGAAAGTAGAGTCTCATAGCTGAAGTCTTAAGTTCTCATAGGATTTGAAAAATGCTATTGAAAAGCTAGTATCACATCAAGAATTCTTTATAGATGTTATTAAATTGTGGAAATTTTACTGGAAAGTGGTTAAGTGTGAAAATAAAACTAGACCTGAATAATAATACCTGAATAACTTCAGCGTCAGTGACAATCTGTGCATCTTTACATTCAGTTTTAACTTCAGTTTTGGCAGTGCTGATCCTTTCCAAAGCTTGTTCTCTTCTTTTCTCTCTTTTTTCAAGTCTGGCAAAAGCTTGCAGAATTGCTTCCATTTTCCTTTCTTCTCTTGTCTACAAAATTTAAAGTAACATAATAAATACTGCTGTGAAGTAAAATCCAGAAGTCCAAATGTTCATGGCAAATTAAAAAAAAATTTCTATGATGGTGTTAGCAAAACACCTCTTTTGATGGTAGATATGGGATTAAAAACATTTATATTCATTTGAGATCTTTGAGAATCCCAAACATCGTGGTAAACCCTGTCATTACAAATATATTACAATGAAAGGAATGTCTGGATGATTGTATGCCAATGATAAAGGTAAGGCAAAACCAAAAGACTCAAGAACGACCCTGCTTTATCAAACCAAAAATCTTTTTTCCTCAATAATACATTAGGCAGCCTTTTAAAAATAAGATCAGGGGCTTCCCTGGTGGCGCAGTGGTTGAGAGTCCGCCTGCCGATGCAGGGGACGCGGGTTCGTGCCCCGGTCCGGGAAGATCCCACATGCCGCGGAGCGGCTGGGCCCGTGAGCCGTGGCCGCTGAGCCTGCGCGTCCGGAGCCTGTGCTCCGCAACGGGAGAGGCCACAGCAGTGAGAGGCCCGCGTACCGCAAAAAAAAAATAATAATAAAAAAATAAATACAAATAAGATCAAAGTTCCTAAGGTAATAGTATGTTGAAAAGGTTAAATCCATATGAACGTAAGGAGTGAATATATTGACATGTCATAGCAGGATATTGTGGGGTGAAGTCCTGGGTTTAAATCATGATGCTACCATTTACTATCTCTGTGACCCTAGGCAATGTAACAACCCTGGTTATTAACCTTTTTGAGCATCTTATAAAATGTGGGTAACAATATTTACACTTCACAGAATTGTTAATGAGTTCAAATATAAACTATCTGTGAAGTTTTCCAACCTTACTTGGAAAATGGTAGGCATTTCTTAGGTGTTACTATTTCTCCTTTGGCTCTCTTGCCCGCCATTATAATTGTTATAAGGCATTCCTCTATCTTCTGCTCTTCCCGTCTACACTGACAGTTCAAGGCAGAGACTGGAAAACAGCAAGAGTTCCTTTGAGCGTCAGTTCTCTTTGGAGAGAGAACATTAAAAGCAAGACCCAGAGCCTTGGCCAGGGGGCCTGGCAAATGCTTCAGGTTTCAACCAGAAACAGGAAGCATGTCCATCAACTGTCCAGTTCTCCAAATGGAAAGAACCAGGTCCTGAGGCTCAGATCCATTCGTCTTTCTTCCTTTATTGTCATCAATGTGGGAAAGAAAGATCAATAACTCAAGGTCTGGCTGCATGGTCTTCTCAATATCAGAGCTTTAGAGTTCGAGTAATTATCAGCAGAGATTCAAGCATTAAGACACCTACACTATTAAAACTATTACTTACTCTTTCCTATATTTTTTTCTTTCATTGTTCCACTAGGTAAGGGAAATATGTAAACAAAACTCTTCTGAGAACTTTATAACTGGTGAAAACAGACTACGAAACTGCAAATGTGTCAGTCTTATAAAATGTGTTATCCTCACCCTCTTTATTTTACAGGTAAGGAAACTGAGATCCAAAGAGGTAGGATTACTTGTTTGTGGACACATATCTGCGTCTTAGCTTTCTTGGTCTAGGATGGATAATAAAGAACATAGGCAAAAGATGATCTCTTTACTGGAACTGCAAGTTTTAAAGCTGAATTCTTTCCTTAGATAATTCATGTCTCTGGTCTTAATAAATCACTTTACTTGACCCCCTTTCATTTATGGCTCTCTATAAAAATCCTGTCTCAATATATTAGGGCTTTTCTAAAACCCTAAATTTAGAAGTCTGGAGTAACTAAAAAATACGATTTTCATAATTGCTTCACCTGTGGAACGGGGGTGGGTAGAAAGAGAAGGGGTTCATTATTGTGCTTATAAATTTAAAAATAAATCTGGGAAAAGTACATTCTTCCAAAAGAAACAAACTTGTCTTAGCAAGAATCATTTTATGTATAAAATAAATTTACCCACGGGCCAGGCACCCAAAGGAGATACTTTCTATGTCATGATTATCCAAGGTTTCCTAAGATAAATACGAATTTATGCCAAAAGAAGTTTCCTTGACATGGTCCATTATTCACTTGTTTTAGATACAGTAAGGGTCAGAGATAAAATTACTTGATGTAAAGACAAAATTAATTCATTTAAAAATTGAACTCCCTTGGTAAACAATGCAGCTAATGGATAGTCAAAGCAAAATCCTTTATTTTGAGATGACTCGATCTTTTTGAGCTGGTCAGGATCTTAAAAATAATCTAGTCCTACACTACTGAAGACACCAGAGCCCACGTGTATTAACTGAATCACTCAAAGGCAGAGCCATAATTATTATCCAAGTTTCCAGGCTCCGGTTTGTTCTTTCCAATTACCAACCACTGACACGCTACATAATGCAAAATAAAACATAATTCTTCCTACATTTACTACAACTATTAACTGAAAGCACTAAACAGGTATCCTAATAGCTTTAACCCAGCTTCACCTTAAAACACACACTTTAGAAAATGTAAACATGCTTTTGATTATGTGAAGAAAAAAAACATTAGTTACTAATCTACTTTTATTTTAAATTCCTTAAGGTTCATATGTCATTCAGCTTTTATATTCACCAGTGTATTCTCTGACACACAAACCAGATATACAGTATGTAATGACTGAAAATTTACCACCCACTTTATAGATCTGATAAATAAGTTTTATATATAGCTTGAGATAATTATAGCTGATTGTTCAGGGGACTAGAGAAATTAGGAGTCCTAATTAGCCCCAGCAGACTGTCCATAGACCCTGACATCTGAGCTGGATGTAGTTTAGATGATACTTGTCACCAAAGGCTACCACCAGGACCTGCATGTTTCATTATCATGACTCATTCCAAGCCACTGACTGTTCAGACCTCAAAAGTCATTTTTACTCTCTCTGAGCTTGGCAACTGATAGACCCTGATATACAATTAGAATTAGAATCAGACAGGGTTGACTTCTGACTTTTGTTGTTAACAACAACACTGTTGTTTACGCTGGAGTGTTGGGCGCTGAACTAAAAAAACTGTGAGAAATCTCTGATGAGATCTACAGATTGCTTTTATGACATTTTTCAGTTTATGGCTTTACAGTAACACACAAGAGTACAATAATTTTCTGTAAGCAGAAAGTCTGCTTAATATCCCTTTATAGGATTTAATCACTTGAGGAGTGGGTACAGTGAGAATTTTTATTACAATTTTGTGCTTCAATGTATAAACACACTGCAACAGAAATTTAACTTGAAATCATGTCACCTTGTACTTGGAAGAGACTGTGGAGATCTTCTTGTATGAGCCCCTATTCAACAAATGGTGAGGGACTTCCCTGGTGGCACAGTTGTTAAGAATCCGCCTGCCAATGCCGGGGACACAGGTTCGAGCCCTGGTCCGGGAAGATCCCACATGCCGCGGAGGAACTGAGCCCGCGAGCCACAACTACTGAAGCCCCTGTACCGCAAGGAAGAGTAGCCCCCACTCGCAGCAACTAGAGAAAGCCTGCACACAGCAACAAAGACCCAACACAGGCAAAAATAAATAAATAAATTTATATATTTTTTTAAAATGGTGAAAATCTAAGGTCCATATAGTTCAAGGACTACATAATAAAGAACACGAATTAAAGTTTTATACAATATCACAACTGAAAAAATAAACGACACTGACTAAATTGTTAGAATTCATCCCAATTAGAGATACTTGGTAATTGGAAGCTGAGTGAAAATAAGCTTATGTACTCTGGATGCCTTACAGTGGCTTTAGAAGGAAATTTGCTAGTAGTAGGATGTAAGAATTGAGAAGGAAACAAAATGAAGACATTTAGGTATTTTGTGATTTCCTTTTTTCTTTTCTTTTCTTTTTTTTTTAACCTTACTACCAAGTAGGAAGTGGCTCTTAAAAACAAAAACAACAAAGTTGCCTTTTAAAGGAAAAGGGAAATGGCAGGGCCAACCTACCAAATTACTTACAGCGTTGAAATAGAGAAATTAAAAGACTTCTTACTCAACTAACTTCCCTTAACCTTTTGAATAGGAATTTATTTATTAATTTTTTTTAAATGCTAAGATTACTGCTTACCAATAAAATTGTTCCAAAAGAGTAAGTATCTCCATTTCTTCTCTACCACATGATGATTTAGTTTAACTTCATAGTACTCTTTCCTGTTTGATGTTTGTTTTTCCTTCCACCCCATCCTCCATGAAAGCTGCTCCAGAACAGGGACCTTGCCTTCTTTTGTTCACCCAGTACTTTAAATGGTGCTCAGCATATAACACCCAAATTTTTAAGTGAATAAGAATTGTGTATACATTATATAAACCATGTATACCACTGTAATTTGAAGGTATGTAATGAAGTCTTTAAACAAGATTTTGGAAATCCTGAATTTACTACAAGGCAGCTGAAGCTGAATATCCTCATTTCATCTGAACAGACAACCTATAAAAATAAACAGGTTCCTTTTTGCTAGTCGATACTACGATTAATTACCCATTCATTCATTATTCATATTTGGAAAAACAATTCCTAAACACTGTGATGAAGAAAATGGGACTTTAGAAAATTAAAACTAGTAATCAACGTTAACTTAGTCATGCTCTGAGGAGAGAAAAGTAAGATGGACAATACATGTCAGATGACTTTTCTGGCAAATTTACCCTCCCTATAGTTTACTATTATTAAAAATCCTTTTGCATCTTCTAAACTGATCTTCTAAATCAAGTCACTTCCTAGAGACACTGGTAAAAGCATGGATTCTGTATAGTAGTGTTTTCTCAGAGTGTTTTTTCTATGGAATAAAAATCTGCAGGAGGTCAAAGGTGTCACTACAAAAAAAAACAAGTTGCAAGGACGTACAGGTTGAGGAAATGCTGACATAAACAGAATTTCTCAAGAGGTTTCAAACACACCATGTATACTGGAAATCTTGAAGTTGGGGACAAGCTATACTGTTTACTAAAGTCAACTGGCCACAAAGCTCTCTCTTTCACAAAACATCTTAAATTAGAGTTCCATGGAATACTTTTGATGTGAAGGATCAAAGCTGAGAAAATTGTGGGGAATCCTGCATCCTATCCTGCCTGGACTATAAGATTCATTTAGTTCACACTCATGGGCGTATCTATTGCTTTCCTCAAATGGCTGCCAGGAACATCTAATAAGCTCAATTATAGACCACCTACTTTTATAAAAGCCAAACCTTTTTTTTCCCCTAGAAGCTAGGGCTAAGGCAATGAGCCCTACAAATCCTTGCCCTTACGTAGTTTATATTCTAGTGATATACAGTTAATTCTAGACTGTCCTAGATGCTTGACAGGTTTAAGAAACTCACAGCTAGGTGATTATCCCTTCATATCCTTTTGTTGGTCTCAAATTTCTATCCTCCTACATGTGAAGACCACCTGAACCACCTTGCATGGACTCCAGTTTAAGCAATCTGACTATAATAGGCCATCAAATATTACCAAGACTATATTCCCAAAGTAGTTTTTCCATAAGGTTGTGGAAAATTATTTTGAAAATGTCATATTAAAAGATACTACAAAGGAGGTTCTTTTCATTTCATTATAAATGGGGTGAAGGAGGGGAAGCAAGCCTCCTTTTGAATTTAAATCTTTCTAAGGTTTTATATTTTTAATCAATCACCTGTTCATCAAAATAAGGTGAGCTTCTCAACATCTAACCCTCTTCTGTACACTTAACCTCTGACAAGGTTATGGCCACCTAACTTCAACTCAACTACCATGGACCTGGGAGAGTCTACTCAGTAGTACCCTGGTTTTGAAACCAGGTGAGTATAAACAGCCTGCTGTACTGCAACTTACCGTATTATTGTATTTCAACCCACTGTATTTCAGCTTAAGATTCTCCCAAGTCAATTCCAACCCACTGCCAAAGAAGTATCTCTTACTAGCTAAAGAGAAAATGTCTAATAACCATCTATTCAGTTCCATACCATTTAGCCACAAGTGAGCTTTTGTAAGGAGAGGACAAAATATAATGGAGGAAAAAGGAAAATGTTAAGAATGGCCTTCTACCCTGGCCCCTAATGATCTGAGTATTCTTTCATGAAATCATCATTCAGCATTTCATGTGATCTACAATCAACCAATCTTAGTTTCCTATATCCCTCCTCACCCACCCCCCAAAAAAAGAGCCTATAATTCCAGCCAAATGTGATTTATCACATAACTACCTCCAGGCTATTTCCCCTAGAGAAATAACCACCCATTCAATTCCACACAATTTAGCCACAAACTAATCTGCACTTGTTTAAACATCATAAGGTAATCTAAATTCTACCTAGTTCATGAAATGACCTCTGATCCCTCCAGCTATAAGTTACCTGTCATATATCTCCTTTACCACACTTCCTGCTGCACTGTAACTGTTTTCTAAATGCCCTTGAAGGCAGAGATATTATCTTCCACTCTCAACAAAAGGAACAAAGTAGCAACCAAATTACATAAATCACCTGTGCTATTTTTGGAGACGGAGCAATATGCTTATATTAGGTTGTATATGGAATTGTCATTTGTGTAGATAAAAACTATCAAATCAACAATTTCATATGGTCCAAGCTATACTACAAAAGGATGGGCTGAAGTATACTACAAAAGGATGGGCTGAAGTATGGGCTGAATTTGGACATTACATGGTACTTATCTGGGAGGAAAGTCTGACTTTTTATATTTCAATCTCATAGATACACGTGAGAACTGGTATCTCCTATTATAATGTTTTAAAGTCTGTCCCATCACAGGAGAAAATTTAAATCAGTTTGACCTAAGTTTCTCAGGAGTTGACCTATCTTTCCAATTACTGATGTTAACATAGCCAATATAAAAGGCAAACACTGGAGTAATAAAGGCTGATGAGTACTTAAACTTTTCAAAACAAAATATTTCAACCCACAAATACTAATACTTTGGGGAGTGGGAGGGGGCCACACCAATTGCTTAAGAATTCTAGGATGCATGCTTTTGCATTCCAGTCATTTGAGTATAGCAAAAATTCTATAATTAAAACATCCAGGCAAACATAGCAATTACAACTAACAACATTACAGTGACCTTGAAGGCTACAGGTTAAGGAGCCAAGGATTTTTAAACACTTACTTCAAAAGGGAACCCTCGTACACTGTTGGCGGGAATGTAAATTGGTGCAGTCACTAAGGAAAACAGTATGGTGGTTCCTCAAAAAATTAAAAATAGGATCCAGCAATTCCACTTCTCAGTGTGTAAAGAAAACCACTAATTTAAAAACATACGTATACCCCAATGTTCACAGCAGCATTATTTATAATTGCCAAGATATGGCAGCAACCTAAGTGTCCATCAACAGATGAATGCATAAAGATGTGACCAATATACACATATATATGTATGTGTGTGTGCATATATCTCTCTCTCACACACACACACACACACAAATGGACTACTACTCAGCCATAAAACAAGAATGAAATTTTGCCATTTGCAGCAACATGGATGTGGAAGGCATTATGCTAAATGAAATAAATCAGAGAAAGACAAATACTGTATGATATCTCTTATATGTGGAATCGAAAAAATATAACTAGTGAATATAAGAAAAAAGAAGCAGACTCACAGATATAGATAAACTAGTGGTTACCAGTGGGGAGAGGGAAGGGGGGGAGGGGAAATATAGGGGTAGCAGATTAAGAGGTACAAACTACTAGGTAGAACATAAGCTACAAGGATATACTGTACAGCACAGGGAATATAGCCAATATTTTATAATAACTATAAATGGAGTATAACCTTTAAAAACTGTGAATCACTATTTTACGCCTGTAACTTATACAATATTGTACATCAACAATACTTCAATAAAAAATATTTCATATCTCTTCAAAATACCAAATTCTAAATATTTACGTTTGTTTACTCCTATGAAAAATACTCAGCTGCACAACCACCTCAGTGGCATATATTAAAATGAATATGCTAAAACAGATATAAAAACATGAAGTATTCATTTATATTAATATAGCATACTAGTAGGCAAAATCTGGACAAAACCGGATTCCCAAGTATGCTTGTTTGTCTACCTATCCAAAGTTCCATCATGTTCAACAAAAAGGCATTTCTCTTTCCTTCTGCCATCTCAAAATGAGGATGTTCTAAGTTCAACTAACTTTCTCAGCACTGAAAGAAGGAAGTATTTTAGAAGTAGCCCCAGAGTCATATAACAAACCTCCAGGTTTGAGTTTTCTTTTTTCCTCTCATTTCTCTCCCCCCAAAAGCATTGTTACAGCCCTTACAGCTGTATTTGTATCAGACGCATGCCTCATACAGAAACCAATCATACCCTAAAGTGATCTTCTAAAAGTTTCTGCAGGATTATTGCAAAGACAAGGCTGTGGCAACTGTGGAATGAACTGGCCAATATTGAACATCTAGTCAAGAAAGGGCCATAGGTAATTTGGGTAGGTACAGGTAATTTATTAGATGTAACCCAATCTTGAAAAAGGTTCAAGATAATTCCTTTTAGAGGAAGAACTCCTTTTTCTTTATAAGCAACCTCCTCCAATATTTTCTCCTATATTTGTTTTTCTTCTCTCCTGTTCCTAACACTACCCTGTCCCATCAGAGCAGTGCTTCTGAAATCCTGAGGCTGTGAAACAGTTCTGCATTGCTTTTGCAATTTTGAACATCAACAATACATCAGTGTTAGAGGAATGACCATCAAGGCAATAAGAGAGAGTTACATTTAAGCAGGCCTACAATGACCAAAATCCAAAGATCCTACTGCTAAGTATATGACACCTGAGATTCCATGAAAATCACTAAAACAGGAAACAAGGGAGCATATAAAATAAAGGGGAGTGGGGAAAGCCTGTACTAAGATCATCAGTTGGTATATAAAGTCATTTTCAAATCTTAAGGCAAACTATATCATAATGTCTTCTTAATTGGCCTAGACATTGTATCAATTGCTAAATTACCATGGAGTTTTAAGAAAATATCTTGTCCTAGTTTTTAAACAGGTTAAGATATTTCAAATAAATAGTACAAGGAGTGTAAATACTAAACTTATTTTAATGAAAACCTTATTTTATGATAGCAGTATGAGATGTAAAAACAGCAGCTGCCAAACAGTGCGTTTTCTTCTTTTTTGCATAAGCCATTTATTTAGTGCTATTAAAAGCTTTAAAATTCCATTTTTGTTTTACATTAAATTATGAAGAGAAAGGATACATTTAGTTAATGAAAAACATTTTGAACAGTAATTCTGGCATTAAAATTAATAGTACTCTGCTTCAAAAATGTTAAAAAATTATTTCTTAAATGTCAGAAATTCTAAATTGTCTAATGAACACAGAGTGAAAATACAAAAGATTAGTGGAAGTTACTAGAATGGTAATGACAAAGCCAAACAGAAATGCTCAGTGACACATCTTGTTTGCTAACTTCAAAGAACAAGGTAAAGGCCCTCCTAAAGGCAGCAGCAAGTATTTTGGGAAGAGCAGTGTCACTAAACCCAAGTGACAGCATGAAGCTGCTACTGGCCTTCCAACTTACCATCTTCCTTCTCCTTTCTGCAATCTGTTCCTCTGACTCCATTTCTACTTCATTGCTAATGGGAGTTTTTTCTTCTATATCATCAATAAAATCTGGTTCCTGAAAGATGGAAATGACTGCTTTATAGAAACTACTACTCCATCTACAAACTAGAGGCACAGAACCATGTATTTTAAATGTCTTTCAACCAGAACAAATTAAACATAAAAATTACAAGAGTACTTAAATCCATTTCAGAAACTTAAAACTGGTTCCTAATTCAGGAAACTTTTCAAAATCATGCAATCAAATAATTTTGTTTTTCAAAGTTCTAGTCAATAATGTTCTTTATCAATAGAGTCCACAGAGCCTTAAGTTTATATTCTTACCAACACATAAACATATAAATTATTTCACATAACCCAGTGCCTACAAATACCAAGTGCTTAATAAAGGTTTGTTCAATTTAACACTTAAGGGAAACTATCCTTAGAAGATAAGACACTGGAGACGAATAAAAGCTTACTTAATCTTCACATTTAAAAGGTCCCGCCTAACTAACTTCCATTTGTTTAGAGGGCATATAACAAAATACTTCCTGGTGAAGCGGAAGTACAGGCCAAACTCTTTCCTCAAATTTATCTTATGTGTTTTTAAAATAACTTCCTCTCAAAAATCATATGTCACCCCTATAGAATTGATTTCATTATGTCCCAAATATTAAAGGAAAGGAATCATTATGGCTTAAGACTTTAAATAAGAACATTTATTATAAACATAAGGACAGTGCCATCTGGAAGAATTTTTTTTATTACCCAGTCTTAAGGAAAATCTTGTATTCAATTCTACAAGGATTTGCTGGGTGAGCTGTTTCTTAAAAGTTTAACAAATATTGTACAAATTCTAGCAGAACCTGTAGTTTACATTTGTAACTACTTCATTAAATAAAAGAATGACTTAAAAAGTTTAAGCCATTTTATATAAAAAAGAGGATAAAACATGACAAATTAATTTTCTTCTCTTAACTTCTTTCATCAAGAATCAGTAGAGCATAGTTCAGTACCTGATTATTTGATACCGACAGTCTCAGAGGAGAAAGCTTTCTCTGTTTAGTTTCTGGGCTCTTCATTTTGTTCACTGTCCCTTCACAATCCAAAGTAATATTCTGATTTTGTGTATCTTTTTCTTTTGAAATATCCTTTTCTTTTTTTCCTTTCTTCCTTCTGGTCTCATAACCACTATTGATGTTTTCCGTGGATTCAGAACTACGTTTCAGAACAGGGCACTCTGGATTTTCTTTGAGGCATGCACAATCCACCTTGTACTTACTGGAAAGAAAACCAGGTAAATATTTGTTCAAGATACAGACTGTAATATTTTCTAATCCATTTTAAGCTACACCTCCACAAAACTGTATGCTATTACTAATTATAAGCAATCATTTTTGCTAATTTTCATTCCTTGTAACTATGACAAAATAAATTTTCTCATAAAAACAATATAATAATTAGAAGTTGATTTCTGACCAGAGATTGGTCATAATCATAAGGATAACCAGTGATGGGTTACAGAAGGAAAAAACCCCAATAAATTAAAACTGAGTCTTTTTAAGTCAAATGATACCATGGCATATTTTAAGGCAAAAACCCCAGGTTACCTCAGAGTGCTATAAAGTGTGTATGCAGAATATGATAAAATACTCTAAATCTGACCTAAATAAAAAATGCTAGGTACAATAAATACCAAACCTTAACTAGTTTGTCTTATACTTTAAGGAATGATTTCAATAGCCAGGGTTCTTTAAAAAGCTACCTTGAAAAAACTGAATGTCATGTTTGCCTTTGCCCTTAGGTATTCCCTCTTTCAAATAAACGGAAGCTTGAAAAATAATTGCACTACCTCTCATCTTCACAGTAGTGATCATTATTACTCCCATTTTACAGATGAGATTAAAGCTCAGAGGGTTAGTATCTTGTCCAAAGTCACACATTAAGTGGTAGGGATGACATTCAAATACAGGTCTGGGTCCAAAGCCCACACTCTTCAGCTCTTCAGTATTTCTTAACTCTCTACCCTCTTGTCTACCACCAAGAGTCAGTTCATCTCTAGGATATAGGCTGAATGCCCAAACCAGAGTTAAATAATAACGGAAGACTCCCACTTTGCATGTTTTGAGTAGTTTGTTCATAATAAAAAATAATTTACTTTTCCAAGTTTCTAATATGCCTAACTCATTCACTTTCAACACTGGTAGAAAGCTACAAGTCAAACTGTCTAATTCTGTGAATCAGGGGTAGAACTCAAGCATCATGGTCTACCCCTCACCTCTCCAAATCAGGCAGTAACAGAAACTAGCTGGAAACTTTTTCTAGATATTTTCTTTGATTTTAGGACAACAGAACTGCAAATAATAATGATGACAACTGCTAATATTTATTCAGCACTTATTTTGTATCAAGAATGGTTTTAAACCCTTTATATGTGTTAACTCAATCTTCGAAATATTCCTGTTAGGTGAGTATTATTTTTCTCATATAATAATAAGGTAATACGGCAGAGAGAGATGACGAAATTGGTCCAAGGTTGCATAACTAATATAAGTGACTGAGCTAGGATTTGAAAGCAGAGAGTCAGATTATAAAAAGCTTATATTTTTAACCACTGTGGGAAACAGTCCCCCAAAGCAATGAGCAAAGAGCTATTATTATGGGGGGGGGGTGGAGAAAGAGCTAAAAAGGAAACACTTTAGTTATCAGGATAAATCTGACTCCAACAATCAAGTAGAGATGCATATACTGAAGGAAGAGGGATTTCATTGACAGAAAACATAATGGACATTAAAAATGTCTGCATGTAAAATGGATACCACACAAACTTTTAAAAATAAAATACACGAGGATATGAACTGAAATCCTTATAACCCAAAAGATTATAGAATATATAAAGAAGTGCCTCCACCCACATCAGTTTAAAAAAAAAAGACTACCCAGCAGAAAAATGAACAGATGATGAGACAAGTCATAAGAGAGGAAATCCAAATGACAAATGAATATATAAAAGGATCTCTGGGTTCTTAAAATAATCATGGAAGATGGTAATTACAAATATAAAAAGATACTATCTCACACAGATTAACATCGATTTTTAAAGTAAAGAAGTGTTGCAAGGAAGTAAAGCTATGGGAGTATAAACTGGTCATTCACCCACCTCTGGTAAAAACTGAGGCTGTACACATTCTACAACCCAGCAATTCCACCTCTACGTCCCTATCATGGAGAGAACATGTACACATGCAGCATTTTTTGTAAATCTAAAGGTCCACCAATAGTGGAATGGATAAATGCCATCAGCAGTGAAAATAAATGAATTAGAGCTACACATAACAAAAGAACTGAATCTCACAAAAGTAATGAATGAGAAAAGATGAATGCAATATAATACAGATTATAATTTCCATAAATTTTTAAAATATACAAAACTACTCCATACTATTTAGGGACATCTACAGACATAGTAAAAATGTTAAACTCATAAAAATGTTAAACTCACCAAATTAAAGATGGCAGTTATCTCTGGTAAAAGACAGAGGATAGACGCAATCTGGCTGCAAAACATATGGGCCTTTAATGGATAATGTTTTGCTTCTTAATTTGGAAATGAGGCACATGGACTTTTTTTTTTTTTTTTGGCCGCGCAGTTTGTAGGATCTCAGTTCCCTGACCACGGATTGAACTCAGGCCACAGAAGTGAAAGCACAGAGTCCTAACCATCAGGCCACCAGGGAACTCCCTACATGGACTTTTGTATTACTATTTTTTACAGTAAAATTTTTAAAATTTAAATTGCAGGTTCTCTACTCAGAATTAACTTTTCTTAGTGTTAATCAACTCTTCTTTAGTGTTTCAGAACAACAGTTCTCAGAGTTTCCTCGTACGATCTCCAACAAACCCTTTCAATTTATACTGCAAAGAAACTTTGGCACAATTTCTTTTCTTCTGAGGGGCAATAAGTCAAATTATCCATTTCTACTGATTAACCAAATTAATTGAATGAGTAAAACTCTACACTCTACCTAAAATACAAGAAAGAAAAGAAGGAAAAAATTCTCACATAAACAAGGTCAGTATTGCTCAATTAGGATTACTAATTATTATACTATGAACATTACATTACAATAATAAGAAAAGTTTGGAAGAGCAAAGCAACCACGCTGTAATGGAAGCTGATATCAGAATGCTTGTTTCCAAGTATTTTTAATTGCCTAATAGTAAATAAAAATAAAAAGCTAAAGAAGTAATGACAATACCTACATTTTTATAAGGACATTAAGGAATTATTTCAAAACAACAGGTATCATATTTACAGATTTGAACTTACCAATTCCCATAGTCAAAATCAAAGGCAATAGTAATTTCAGTTCCCTTTGGAATACTTTGTACAGAATAAATGTAAAGATGTATGGTTCCATCCTCAATTTCATGCCTCACCTGTTAGTTAAAAGAATAATTTTGTATTTCCATAAATAGTTATATGTCTCTATAAGTTATTTTCTACCTTTAGAAGCATCTCATCTTGCAATTTTGAAAACTATTCTTTTCAAAGTAATTCACAAATGTAACATGGAAAATATGCCATTAATTACAAGACTTGTACCTAAATCAGTGGCTATCAACTGGGAAGGAGGTACACATCAATGCAAGTTTGATGCAGGCTCTAGGAGCATCGAAAAGAAAATAACTATTTCATCAATTCTATGGTGCATATTTTTTCCCCTTTTAAAATCTGTGAAATTGGGAGTTTTACAAGTGATGGCATCTTTGATTTAATGAAACGCATTAATGGTACAGTTTATAAGTATATAGTTAAAGTATAGTTTAACACTATACTTTTCTGTGATATACACTGTTCTAGGTACTCTACATGCATTAACTCCTTTAGTCCACATAACATCTTTTTACAGATAAAACTGAAGCACAGACAAGGTTACAAAGCTAGTAAGTCAAAAAGAAGACATGAATCTGTAAGTCTTGCTTCAAAACCTACACTTAACTGTAACATTATATAACTAGAAAACATTTATTTTGGCATGTGAAAAACAAAACCAGAAATATTATTTCATACACCACTTCTAAAACATAATTTTATAAAAAATTTTATACTAGCACATATAAAATCTACTTTAGTTTTCAGCTTCGTCATCTACCTTGATCAAATCAGAGCATATATTTGACTCATAAATAGAGCTTCCAGAATAAACAGAGAAGTCCAGTATTTTCTCTTACAAGTAACATCACAATTTCTTCAATGCTCAAAGTAACTTGAGACCTCACAGCCAGTTATCACCTAAATTTTCATAATGGAAAGACGTTGGGCAGTATAAAATGCATCAACAACTAAAAACTGTTGGTCTGTTTTAGGCCACCAGATTTTTTGTGCTTAATACTCAGATTCCACACACTCCCTACCCCTGCCTCCCCAAAGGATTTCTATAAGCTTACCTCTGCATTCGGAGTACAGGAACGCCTAATGAACCGAGCTTCATTCCCAAAAGTCCTTGCATCAACACACATTTCTAGACCATGAAATTTAGAATAGAATAAAACAAAAGGGTATGGTCTACAAAAAAAGAAATGCATTAGAAACTATTAACATTTTGAATTTAAGAAATTTCTAAAAGACTCATAGTAAGTAGGGAGGCAAAGATTTGAATATACGCAGTCTGATACCAGAACCCATTCTTAACCACTTGGCTAATTCATGCTAATAAGATTTTTACCTGCTCATATAACCTTACCTAAACCAAAGGTAATTAATTCAGGTGGGAATTCAAATTTACAAAGAATGATAAAAAGGGAGTGACTACTGCCTTTACATAAGGATTCATAATGAGATGTCATTAAAGTTCCTATCAGTGCATTTACGTGTTTGATTTACAGCACTCTTTCAGATCAAATCTGCTATACGAAAGGGAAAGATTCTTGTATATCTTTCATAACTTAAGTAACTCAGTTATAAACAATACGAAATATTTTAAATAATTATAATATATAGGCTGAGACTGTTATTTCCCTAGAGATGCAAACATATTTCTAGACCTCAGGGAAGCGATGGCTATCACGAGATCACATCAATTCCCACCCCCAAAATCACAAACAATAGAAGAGGACTCCAAAGTCCTTCCAGTACCAAGAAAGTCGGAGTTGAAAGTGGTGACAATAATGTAAGACCAAATCGAACATCCTCTGATAAAAGAAGGATGTGGTCACCAGTGGTCTTTGCAGGTTCTAGCAATTATAAGGAATTAGGAAATGTCCTAGATGGAAAGGGTTCCTTATAATCTCATGTAATCAGACTTTTTCATTAATGTCCACCTATACTGCTACAGTTTATCTTTGAAGTAGATTGTTTTAGGAGTGTCAGCAAGATAGGGATGGGTAAGAGACTAAGGAATAGGGACTTCCCTGGTGGCGCAGTGGTTAAGAAGCCGCCTGCCAATGCAGGGGACACGGGTTTGATCCCTGGTCCAGGAAGATCCCACATGCCATGGAGCAACTAAGCCCATGTGCCACAACTGAGCCTGTGCTCTAGAGCCCGTGAGCCACAACTACTGAAGCCTGCATGCCTAGAGCCCGTGCTCTGCAAGAAGAGAAGCCACCGCAATGAGGCACCCGCACACAGCAACAAAGAGTAGTCCCCGCTTGCCACAACTAGAGAAAACCCACACATAGCAATGAAGACCCAACGCAAGCAAAAATAAATTATTTAAAAAGAGACTAAGGAATATATCTGCATCTACAGTTTTAAATATTAAAATAATCCCTTAGAAAACAAAATACACATAAACAATAGCTTTGTGCTTAAAATAGCCAAAAATTCAATACTTAACTACAGAAAACATGGAGAAATAAATGAATATACCTCTTAAAGAAATATCCATTTGCTTCAAACTGTTCTCTTAACATAAACTTCCCTCTGTATTCAATGATAAGTGCATCAGGAGGCAAATCTTTTGCAGATTTCAGAATTTTCTTATTTTTTTGTATATGGCTCTATGATCAGAGAAAAGTTGAGATTAACTAAAACCAGACTGCTTTCAGTCTAAGTACTTAAGATATACAGTAAAAAAAGGTTTTTGTTTTATCATCTCTTGGCAAATGATATATTTACCTCTACAGGAGGTTTGAAGATCAAATTATTGGTATTCAAATCTGATTTATTTATCTCTTTTTTGTCATTTCCGTTGCCCAGTCTCAGAGCTATTCTTTGTGCCTCCCTCTGAACACCCTCACTATATTGGTTATTATTTGCCTCTTCATATCGATCCATCCATGCTTTGATTTTTGTCTCCCATCCAAAATTTGAACCATCAGATGAAGGATCAATCTCTGGAGCTGAGCCCTAAAATCATAGCAAACTAAGCATTAATATCTGGATTTTAAGTATTTACACACACACACACACACACACACACACACACACACACACACACACACACACACAAAATATGACAGTCTATATAAAAGAATACAATATAAACCAGAAATAATGACAGGCTTTCTAAGTTGGTCCTAGTAGGAAAAAGGAAAAAAAAAAGACTGTAAGTGAGCAGCTTAATACATTTTTATACTGATGCCAGACACACGAGTTGGAAAACTGAAGGAAGCAGAGTTAAGTTGAATAGCAGAAACTTAAGCTTCACTACTGTAGCCAAATGGGGGCTTTCAATAAAATTGAAAATACCCAAAACTTTGGAGTCACTGTCAGCTAACGGTTAAAAAAAGATAGCGTGTAATAATTTTTTTGAGACTGCCAATATCTACTCTGTACTCACAGTTCTATTTAACCAGAAAAAAAATTGCAATTATTATGTAAACTATACATACTGCATATTAAGTATAAACTTATTTTCTGATATAATACTTCAATTTTTAACATGTTTTATAATAAAAATATACTTTGATATCTTAATTTTGTATAATTCCAAGATCTATAATCAACTGTCCACATGATAAATTCAACATGAGAATAAAATGTCTCACAAAATAAAGACCTTTAAGCTTAAGTGCTTGCTTCTCCTAATACCCGCTATTAAAATCTGTAAGATAAGATTGCTAAATGCCAAAATGCAGCAAGATGTTTTTTGATCCATCTCTTAGAGTCATGAAAATAAAAACAAAAATAAACAAATGGGACCTAATTAAACTTAAAAACTTTTGCACACCAAAGGAATCCATGAACAAAACGAAAAGACAACCTACAGAATGGGAGAAAATATTTGCAAACAAAGTGACCAACAAGGGATTAACCTCCAGAGTATATAAACAGCTCATGTGGCTCAATATCAAAAAAAACTAACAACCCAATCAAAAAATGGGCGGACGACCTAAATAGATGGCCGAGAGACACATGAAAAGATGCTCAACATCACTAATTATTAAAGAAATGCAAATCAAAACTACAATGAGGTATCACCTCTCACCAATCAGAATGGCCATCATCAAAAATTCTACGGAAAAAAAAAAATTCTACAAACAATAAATGCTGGAGAGGGTGTGGAGAACAGGGAACCCTCTTGCACTGTTGGTGGGAAGGTAAATTGGTACAGCCACTATGGAGAACAGTATGGAGGTTCCTTAAAAAACTAAGAATAGAGCTACCACATGATCCAGCAATCCTACTCCTGGGCATACGTCTGCAGAAAACCATAGCTTGAAAAGATACATGCACCCCATTGTTCACTGCAGCACTATATACAATAGCCAGGACATGGACAACCTAAATGTCCATCGATGGATGAATGGATAAAGAAGAGGTGGTACATACATACAAAGGAATATTACTCAGCCATAGAAAGAACGAAATAATGCCATTTGCAGCAACATGGATGGATCTAGAGATTGTCAGACTGAGTGAAGTAAGTCAAAGAGAGAAAGACAAATGTCATACGATATCGCTTGTATGTGGAATCTAAAACAATGGTACAAATGAACTAATTTACAAAACAGAAATAGAGTCAGATGCAGAAAACAAACTTATGGTTTGGTTACCAAGGGGGAAAGGGGGGAGGGATAAATTGGTACATTGGGATTGACATATGCATACTACTATATATAAAATAGATAACTAATAAGGACCTACTGTATAGCAGAAGGAACTCTACTCAGTACTCTGTAATGACTTATATGGGAAAAGAATCTAAAGAAGAGTGGATATACGTATATGTATAACTGATTCACTTTGCTGTATAGCAGAAAACATTGTAAATCAACAGCACTCTAATAAAAATTAAAAAAAAGAAAAGAAAAAGAATGCTAAATGCCAAGCAGTGAAAACTTACAAGCTCTCAATAGGTTTTAGGAAACAAAAAGGGAATCCTTTTCTCATTGGAATGCAACTTACAGAAAGGCATAATTACCACACATTTTAAAAGTTTATTAAAGCCTAGACTCCCTCAATTAATTATTTGCAGTCTTAGGACGAAAATCAATTAAATACAGATAACAAAAACATATATCTTATCGATAGCATAATTCAAATTTATAATGGATTTATTAACACAAGAAGTTTCAATTTGGTTGTTTGCAAATGCTGTTCATCAATTTTCCTACAGAACGGAACACCTTTATGAGAAGATAGATTATTTCTATAATGTGTACAACCTACCATAACTGTGAAATTTTAAAATCACATTATAGATTTCATGAAAATTCTTATATATGCTGTTAGACATGTACATGTGTATGGTAACACTTACTAAAATTTACCATCAGTCCACCTTCCATATAAGTAAATAATCTTTATTACAAAAAGTATTCTTTTCTATAATGAAACAAACGATAGTAAGTTGCTCAACTATTTGATAGGGGTAGGTTTCTTTTACCAACTGATCTTTTATGGAATTATATATTCTACATTATAATGACCACTTGATAAAGAACAGATTTTTATACAAATATGAAACATCACATATTTTTGGGCCTTTATTTTTATTTTTTTATTTTTCAGAATTTTCTATAGTGAATATGGCTTATATAATACAAAAATGTTTTTCAAATACTATATACCAACACAAAAGTTTACAATCACTTTTTTTTACTACCCCTATTATTTATTTGTTTATTTATATATTGAGGTATAACTGATTTACAATATTATATTAGTTTCAGGTGTACAACGTAGTGATTCAAAATTTTTTATTGATCATACTTCATTTAAAGTGATTATAAAATATTGGCTATATTCCCTTTGCTTATTATTATTATCCTTGTAGCTTATTTATTCTATACATAGTAGTTTGTACCTCTTAAGCCCCTAACCCCATCTTGCCCTTGGCATCTCTTCCCCCACTGGTAACTACTAGTTTGTTCTCTGTATCTGTGAGTCTATTTCTATTCTACTTATTCATTTGTTTTATTGTTTGGATTCCACATATAAGTGATAATATATGGTATTTGTCTTTCTCCTATATGATACCACATATTAAGGTCTTCATCAGCTTTATTAAAGAAATCCTCTCAGTCTTTAATTTGTTTTCTTTTTTGCTCTCCCTCCCCCCCTAAAATAAATCCTCTACTAACTTGGTTTCTCTTCAATACATCTCTTCTATATCTCTTGAGCCTTTTTAATATGAATTACTTATTAGAAATGTAATGATCTTAAAGACATATTCAAGTTAATGAAAAAATTTCAAAGATGAACAAAGCATTTTTCAAATTTTAATTCCTTAGTCACTTCTTTACATAATAAATGAAAATATCTCAGTTAAGTAAAAGATGCTCCTTCCTCATTAAGCCTGCTATTCAGATTAGATAAAATGGGAAAAAAGGAAAACCACTGGAGTATCAATAGTTCCAACAGCTTAATAAAAAACCCTTTTTCAGACCTCTTCATTCTGGTGTCAGTGAAAATCCCATAAATACAAGTTTAATATAGTAAATATAAAACCCCCAACTTTAACATATACAGAACATTTTATAAGACTTTGGACTTGCAGTATGCTGAGTGACACCATGCATTAACATTCTTAAGAAAGAGTTCCAAAACTATGCAAGAATAATCATTGGACAGCTGCTTAATGATCTGTTTTCCAGGAATGTGGAATAATTAATAATTATTACACTTTATACTATGGGGACAACAGATGTATTCTAATATGCTTCCCACATCCTATTTTAATATCTGTCAACTTAAGATACTCATTCTCCTTTACTACCTAACCTAGAAAGTTAGAGTAACACTGTATAGTTGACCTCTGTGATCCAACAGAAACTATCTTTTAAGGGGAGGCAGAGCTGGGGGGGCTTGCTTCTCTCAGCAATCTTGGCATCTACAACATTGAGGATGTATTCTAAATAATTCAAGGCACAAGTGACTAGTTTGTACTTACACGGTGAATCTATGGTGATTTTATAATATTTTATAACTACCGACAACTAAATCACTAGAATTCCAACTTTGCAAAAGAGCAAAATTTCAAATTCCAAATATTATTTCGCATTTCTATGTCTAGAATACTAGTGGTACTGGAGACACGGAATATAATGATAAATGAAAAATTTTAATTTTAGTATTAGAAATTTTACTGTTAGAAATTACTTATATATCTCCTTTTGTTTAATGTTTTAACAGTGTTAATATCTCCAAGAGTGGTATATTAACGCTATTATAATTCTCTATCGTCCCACTTCTGGTAAAGATAATAAGCAATAAAATGACACAGAATTAAGACAGCATAATTTACTTTATTATGAACAGGCAACGACTTAGTTAACCACTAGATATTTGACAACTGATAATAAGGGCTTAAATTTAATGTGTTTACCTTAACTCTTGATGATTTCCTAGATCCTTCACGAAAGGCCTGAAATAACATGGAATTCTGAGTTAGTTTTTTAAAAACTGGATATAATTAATATTTAAAAGTGAGTTCACTCAAGCTTTTTATTGAACTCGCATAAATAACACAAAATATGGTAATAACCAATACAGTCAGAACTAGGGGAATGTTGAAGTAAAGTCATCTACTAGAACACTGCACTATTAAAAATAAACACAGACTATGTAATAACATGAAAATATGTATAAGATACAATGCTAAGAAAATTTCTAAATTTTCTGTGTGCTCAATATTGCAATCAGGGAAAAATATTTGATAAAAGTTGGAAGGTATTAAAAATATTGCAGTAGTTTTAAGTCATGAGCCAAGTTTGGGGCGGGTTAAAATAATTTTGTTATTACTTTAATTTCTAAGTCAACTAGCGAGTAATACTTGAGCACTTACTAGTAAGGACTGAAATTATAAGCACTGTGGTGAAAAGAACTGTACTTACTCATTAAATATTGAATGGGAGCTCTCTAATCTGCCAAGTCCTAAATCTAAGACTTACTTCACCACTCCACTCCCCAAAGTGTAAACTCTATTTCGAGAGACTTACGAACACTAAACCTAGAGTAAGCAATACAGTTCCTAATTTATTTAAGTTCCAAATTTGTGTGCAGACTATACGTTGGAAGACAGCAAGTTTTATTAAAAAGAGGAAGAGGAGGAGAAGGAGAAGCAGCAGCAAAGAACCTTCACGTAAAACACAGAAAAAGAGCTAGGGCTATGGAGAATAGATATGTTCAGACAGGTGGACAACTGAAAGAAATACAATTCTGGTACTAAAGAAATATGAAAGAAGGCACGTAATAGGAAGAAATATGTCGCACTCAAAGAAAAACTAATATACCGCACTTGTTACCTACGGAAAATAGTTATGACATAAGACTGGCTAAAAAAAATGTAAAAGTAGGTCATGAAAGCCTTATTTAAAAAGTCGCATTCTGGGCTTCCCTGGTGGCGCAGGGGTTGGGAGTCCGCCTGCCGATGCAGGGGACACGGGTTTGTGCCCTGGTCCGGGAAGATCCCACATGCCACAGAGCGGCTGGGCCCGTGAGCCATGGCCGCTGAGCCTGCGCGTCCGGAGCCTGCGCTCCGCAACGGGAGAGAAAAAAAAAAAAAAAAAAAAAAAAAAAAAAAAATAAAAAGTCGCATTTTATTTAAGATTCTTAAATACCATATGTTCTTCACTATGATGGAGGAATCCATGAAATACCTCTGAGCAGAGAAGGGATATAAAAACGATATTCACAGAAAATGTCAGAACCAAATGCAGAATGGACTAAAGTAGAAAGAGGATAAAGTTGGAGAAATTAAAGAAGATATTACTGTACTAGAGGTAATAAGGTCATAGACTGGGTTTATAGAAGCAAAAAGGAAGAAAAATAACAATATATTGAAGAGACATTCCCAAGGAAAAATCAATAGTGCTTTTGACAATAACTCTGAATGTCAAAGACTAAAGATGACTTAAAGATTTTTAAACCTGGATAATGGCTGTGCTGCTGAAACAAAAGAAGAATTTGAAGTATGATGAAAGAAGATGCAAGTTTGATTTAGAGGAAACACTGAAAGAAAAATAGAACATTCATAAGTAAGTAATATGTGCTGACCATAGTTTTATGAAAAAATTAATATCAAGTTTGAAAAATTCTTTTCAAGTAAAATTAGAAAATTTTAAAAATTAAAAAATATTAAAATCCTAATATATGGGTCACAATACACAATCCATGTCTTTAACAGTGTTAACGCTTCATGCCAAAGCCCTAAATTGCTAAAATACCAACCAACAATACCTTAATAGGGTTTTATGAGTATTTTTTAAATGTCATCTGTCCAGAATGTCTGCTGTTAACTCCATTCACATTTTTAACAGTTAGCCATAACAAAAGGCTGAATAAAAAGCAAAATTAGATATATCCGTTTGCTATATATTTTTAACTACATATTGCCCCTAAATAATAGTAAAAACTTAACAGTAAAGCAAACTAAATCTTTTACGCCCAGTTCCTAGATTTTTTTTTCTAACCCTTATCAAGTATTACTAACTTAACATGAGAGAAAAAATTCTCTGTTTAAATATACAACAATATTCTGAAACAAATAAAATGTGCTCCAAGACAGAACTGATTCATTTTAAATAGCCAAAAGTCATTCCAGGGGCTTCCCTGGTGGTGCAGTGGTTGAGAGTCCGCCTGCCGATGCAGGGGACACGGGTTTGTGCCCCGGTCCAGGAAGATCCCACGTGCCGTGCAGTGCCTGGGCCCGTGAACCATGGCCGCTGAGCCTGCGCATCCGGAGCCTGTGCTCCGCAACGGGAGAGGCCACAGCAGTGAGAGGCCCGCGTACCACAAAAAAAAAAAGAAAAAAGAAAAAAGAAAAGTCATTCCAGCCAGAGAAAATGCAAAATCTGTTTTATTAAAAAAGTTGATTTGTTAATCTAGATGACCTAAAAATAAAACTACACAAGGATAATGTTTCCAAGTAACTTTTACACAGTAAACAGAGAAGGCATAATTTGAAAGCAGTAGATGAAAAAATTAGGTCAATACCTAAACATGAGTTCCTAAATTGTAAAAAGCACTTAATAGACAATCACTTTCTCTGCATAAGTTACAATCTGAGATGAGGAAAATAACAATGAAATAAAGCAAAATGTGCTTAAGTGCTGTAATAATACGTTCAAGTGCCATGATGAAATGCAAAGAAAGATCATCATAGCAAATTTCATCGAAAAAAGTACTGCTTTAGATGGGCCTCAAAGTAGAGTAGGGGTTTAAAAGATAAAGATGGAGAAGAGAATATTCTGAACAATGAAGGGAACAGCTTAAGTAAAAAGATAACATATCAGAAATCAGAGGGAGAATTTGGTAATAGTTGTCCAGACTGAATAAAATACAGGAGAAGAATAGCAAAATTAGAGAGAGACACATATGTGAAGACTGCTAGAATCAAGACTTATTTTAAACAGGGAGGTGAAATTAGAAAATGAAAAAGATATTTAAAAGTACATGCTGCCGGACTTCCCTGGTGGAGCAGTGGTTAAGAATCCGACTGCTGGGCTTCCCTGGTGGCGCAGTGGTTGAGAGTCCGCCTGCTGAGGCAGGGGACACGGGTTCGTGCCCCAGTCCGGGAAGATCCCACATGCTGTGGAGCGGCTGGGCCCGTGAGCCATGGCCGCTGAGCCTGCGCATCCGGAGCCTGTGCTCCGCAACGGGAGAGGCCACAACAGTGAGAGGCCCACGTACCGCAAAAAAAACAAAAACAAAAACAAAACAAAAAAAAGAATCCGACTGCCAATGCAGGGGACACCGGTTTGAGCCCTGGTCCGTGAAGATCCCACACGCCGCGGAGCAACTAAGCCCGTGTGCCACAACTACTGAGCCCATGCACCTAGAGCCCGTGCTCCACAACAAGAGAAGCCACCACAGTGAGAAGCCTGGGCACCACAATGAAGAGTAGCCCTGCTCACCTCAACTAGAGAAAGCCTGTGCGCAGCAACCAAGACCCAACGCAGCCCCCAAAATTAATTAAATGTAAAAAAAAAATAAATAAAAGTACATGCTGCCTCTTAAATAACCAAATAATATCATGAAGAATTACTCAAAAAAAATGATTTTATACCTATGTATAATTTCACTCTTTAATAAATATATAGTCATTACGGAAAGTATCTTTTACCTTACATGACAAAAAACTTCATTAGCAATTATAACAAATTTATTAAAAAGTGGCTTATAAATGGTTTTCTGCCACCATATCCTGGTGATATATATAT